CTGGGCCAAACTGCTGCTTTGTAGGGAGGCTCTGCCCAGTGTCCCTCTAGCCTTCCTTAAGTTTTTATAGAACTCCACCATTTACCCACCTCCTGGTCGCACATTTTGATGCCATTTGGCAGGTGAGGAGGCTCAGGGAAGACAGAAGGTGTGAGAGTCCTAAACGTGAGTGTACTGGCCACTCTTGGGCCAGGAGCCTCCTTCTCTAATTTGAGGGGTACTCAGGGACTCCACATAAACCTTGAACTTGTGTCCCGCATGCCAAGGGCTGAGCCCATTACCAGTGCTGTTGCCAACAATCTGAAGCCCTGAGTTTTACTTGGTAGCAGCCAGAGGCAGGGGAAGGGAGTTGCTTTGTGACTTATGAAGTCACACAGGCAGAACCACAAATAAGGGACTCCAGTTGGCAAAAAACAAATTGCTGCAAGGCTATTCTTGGAAACTAAAGCATCACGTCTTGTTCCTTCCCAGAAAATGCAGAAAACGTTCATATTTTTGGGTAGCTGGTTTTATTTATATTTCATATCAAACTCCAAAAAGTCAACAGCTGGGTGGTGGTTGACCAAGAAGCCTTTAACAAGAGCTATGACCCAGGATCCTCTGGTTTAACTAATCCTTGACCTTCTCCTTTTGGGGAAAGAGGGGCATCCACCAAAAGCATCCCACTCCAGTTTCTGGAAGAAAAGCCTTAAAGCTCAGACTCAGACTCAAGTGTCTTTCTAAGTCAACCTTTCTAGTTCATTAACAAACCCACCTTGTACCATGTATGTTTCAGTTTGTTACTCAAACTCCCTCCTGTATATGGGGACATATGGGGAACTTAAAACTCAGAAGTTGTGGAACATAACTTCTGTCCAACGTGACATAGCTAGGAAGTGGATTTGAACCCAGATCTTCTGAATCTAAAGCCTCTAGCTTTAAAGTACATAATTCCTTGACCTGGGAAGCTAGCCCCAGTGGTCATCAATTACTGTATTTTGCCGTGTATAATGCACACCCACTTTTTTGGCCCAAACTTTCAGGGAAGAAAATCTTTTGTTTGTAATTTCTTAATTCAAATCTGTATTTGTTTACATGTAGGTACTTGTTTTTTGTATTGTAAAGGAATTTTAGCGTTTATTTTTTAACATATTGTGGTACAAGAAATTTTATGTAACAAATAATTACAAAACACAAGAACAGATACAAGATATAATAAAATTTATGTACCGGTAACAACTTTACCATATATATGCATCATAGAAGGCCAAGAACTTTGTTGTTGCAAGGTTATCAAAACCAATTATCGTATTTCAGGGTATTATTTTGCATACGGATGTCGTTATTGATTTGAGTTGCACTTTTAACTTATAAGCATAAATAAAAGAATTGAAAACATTTATATAGATACAGAATTAGTACTATCCATGTATAATGTGCATCCTTATTTTCCCTCACAAATTTGGGCAAAAAAGTGCGCATTATGCATGGCAAAATACAGTATGTTCCTTTTAGTTTGATGAGGTTTGGGCCATTTGAAGAATTGTAATGAATGCTGGTTACCATGTAGCCACAAAGTGCTGATCACATCACCTACATGACCGAATTTAATCCTTACAACCCTGGGAAATGAGTATTATTATCTCCATTTTACAGATGAGAACACAGGCTGAGATAGATCAGATAACTTGCCAAGGGTCACACAGCTGACGAGTGCGCAGGACCAGATTCTCACCCAGGTTTGCCAGACTCTAAATATTCTGATGTTCTTCTGTGAGGAAACCTATCCTGCATGGGTGTTAGAGTCATTTTGAAGGCCTGACTTAAATTGGAAAACTGATTTTAAAGGTTGAGACTAGACCCTGTAGATCCAGGGAGGCAGGTCTGAGCCTGGTACCAGCTGTGGGGTACAGTCCAAGGCAGCGCTTATCTTCTCCTGTCTGGCCGTCTCCCTCCACCTTCCTTATCTCACTCTAGATAAGAGCC